GAAAGACAGTTACGGATGCTCAGCAAAGATCCGATTCCCACGTTTTTCACCTCCGTGCAAGTCGGCGAGCCGCCCCGTCTGGCTGCCAGGCCGCAATGTCACACACTAACGCACACGGTTAAAGCACACGCCAGGCGTGTGAGACGGGCCGTGCCGTTCGGCACAGAGGGAAGGCGGGGCACGTACTTACTGGATCACGGGGTCCATCGCTGCGATGCGCTCCGTAACGATCAGGGACTCGCTGTAGGTGACGTCGTTGAGGGCAGGGCCAGAGTTACAGGCCAGGATCACCTGAGGGAGAGGCAGCAGAGGAGCGGGGTGAGGAGCGCAGCCCACGCGGGGTGTCAGAGCCGCTCGGGCGCCTGCATTCCCCAGCGCCCGGCGCGTCGTGCCAAAGGGCAAATGCCAGGAGAAAGGCTGGAGGCCCTGTCCTCGCTCTCCCTCCGTTAACCGGCTGTGCCAGGTTTGCTGACATTCCAGCCGCTGGTTCTGCCAGGGCCTCGCCTGGCGCTGGTGCCCTTCCCGGCCCACGCCGTTCCAGGGATCAGGGTAATTCCCAAGTGACGGGCTGGGGGTCAGCCTGCCGGTGCGCTGCTGGCGGGCAGTTACCAGCGCGTTCCGCAGCTACCCAGCTCTGTCCTTTCCGTAGTGAGTTCGCAACGAAAACCACTTACCTCTGTCCCTCTAGAAAGGAGCTCTCTGACAAAAGGAAAGACTCCTAAAATTACGTCTATTCCACTGTTATCTGCGAAAATTAAGGCACATTTATGAGGGGGACCCTCCTGTAAGAGAAAACCAAGGTATTCAGGGTTGAGCTCACAACTCCCTTCAGCGAAGCGTTTGTGTTGTTGACGGCTGCTCGCTCCAAGACCCCTCGAGCGACGCCAGCAGCAGCAACCCCCCCGGGGACATCACCTACGCTCCGCCTCGCCCTGGCACTGTCGCTGCAGTTACTGACAACAGCCTTTAGTTACTTCGCTTGCTTCGAGCGCGTTCGTTCCGCCAGCGAAACCTACGCCTGCCAGCCGGAGGCATGCCCGGCTCCCGCGGCTCCGACCAGGAACGTGCTTCCGGTCAGTTGGGCCTCTAATCCTGCTGCGGGGAGGCTCAGGCGGCAGCTGGCCGCGCGGCGCAGCTGGAGGATAAACCCCCTGCCCTGCAGCCGCCGCTGCCTGCGCGCCCGCGCAGAGTAGCAGGGTAAACCTACCTTGGCGGGTGCTTTAAGCGAGCGTGCGGGGGGTGAGCAGCATGCCCTTCTGCCAGGAGAGGCAGGATGGGCTGCTGGGGGCAGCGACACGCTACAGTGAAAAGATACTTCCTGTTCTCCGTGAGCCTTTGCATTTGTTCTAAAGCTGACGTCAGCTCACGCCAGTTCGTACCAGCAGAAGGGTTTTTGGAGTGAGCATGCTCAGTCCCTACAGAAAACTGGCCAGGACGGGGCTGGAAGTGCCTCAGCTACCCCTGTCACGCAGGAGTGTCGGACCCTGCGGGTTAAGATGTGACACGCAGTGATCTGCAACAGCCTATTCCCACCAAACCTCCACCTTTTCCAACATCCGGGTTCACACAAAGACACAAAAGCTTTTCAATCAACCTTAATTAAACACTGATTGAGATCACACAGGGCAGACCGAGCTAACTGCCAGGTTAATCACTTTCAGCAAGCCCCTAAATTCACATGGGTTTTAGGCTGGCTACTCAGGTGGAGGAGCACTCCAAACCCTGGGTTTGGACCCACGGGCTCAGAACGAGGGCTCTGGCCCTGCAGAAGCACCCCGAGGGAGAGGAGACACCCTACGGCCACTTTGGGGTGGCTCTGAAAGTAGCCACGTGCCAAGTGCTGCAGTTTCCGAGGGAATTCAGCTCCACAGCTCGGTAAGTGACGTCTCAGACAAACTCCTTTTGTTCCTTTCTTTGTGGTAAAGCTGCTGGGTTTCCGGTACCGCGTCAGCAGACCGAGCGTGAGCTGTCTGAACAGAGCGCTCCCAAACCCGCTGAGCCCCGAGATTAAGGAGTGGGTTTCTGGTCCCTGTAACTGCTCCGAGGTTAGCAAGGACGGCAGTCATACCTTCAGCCGCTGCAGCCACTGACCGTAGGAGTCTTCTAACCAGGGGCGTTCTGCAGCACAGACAAAAGCGCATTAGTGTTTCGGGCAAGCCGTGACCCCACGTGCCGCGAGGGCGGGACGCGTCTTTACAGATGAAGTGTTAAAGCGTTTGAGCTCAGGTTGGCAATGGTGAATGTGTAGGTTCAAGTTGTTCCCGAGCTCTTCACTACGGGAACAGCAAGAGTACAGCTGTCTCTAAACGGGATTTTCACGGTAAAGCCGTGGAGTCTCATCTTTGCCAGGATGAGGACAGTTAGAATCTCACCCATGCTGTTTTTCCTAACTGTGTGGCTACTGAGGTTCAGGCAGAGGCTTTCAGCTTTCAGTTTCTTTGGAACACAAGCAGGAACAGACCACCCCAAGTGTGTAGCCTGTATTTCACAGCTTCACAGAGTGGAAGGGGTTGGAAGGGACTTCTAGGGATCATCTAGTCCACCCCCCCTGCCAGAGCAGGATCCCCTAGAGCAGATCACACAGGAACAAGCCCAGGGGCTTTGGAAAGTCTCCAGGGAAGGAGACTCCAGCCCCTCTCTGGGCAGCCTGTTCAGGGCTCTGTCACCCTCACAGGGAAGAAGGGTTTCCTCATGGTCAGGCTGAACCTTCTGTTTTCCAGTTTATGGCCATTGTCCCTCGTCCTGTCACTGGGCACCACTGAGAAGAGCCTGGCCCCATCCCCCTGACACCCCCGTTAGGCGTTGGTAAGCACGGACTGCAGCCAGCCCTAGCGATACAAACGCTCTCCCGGCACCTGGGCCGCAGAACTGCCGCAACGATCGCGTTCACGCTCCCGTATTAACGCCACACCCAGCTCCAACCACCCCCACGCATCTCCCTGTACCTTGTAGCTTTGACTTGGCTTCTTCGAATCCAAACTGCGGCTCA